CTGTCTGCCCCGAGCTTTCCTGTTGATCTCCCACCCAATTTCCAAGCAGACCCTTCCAAACCCTGCCATGCCTTTTGAACTCAAGAGATGACTGCGGACAGCTCAGCACAAACAGGTAGCTGCCACCGCACACACCAGGGAGTCTGGGATTTTCACATCCCACAAAGATGGCTGCCCCCCCCCACAAGCGGATGCGTTAAACAAACACACCCCAAAGCCTCATAAGCTCCGCCTCCGAGTCCCACCACAAAGAGTCACGGCCACAGGGGGGGGTGGGGAGGCTATCTGATCGGTGAGGTCACCCATCTGGCCCAAGGCCAAGGATGCATTTCCAGCCCCATCCACCACCCACCTCCTCCCTCCTCTGTGTAACAGAACTGAAACACAACCACGGATCTGGCAGGTTAGGTTGTCGAAGGTCACAAAGAGAAGGGGGGGGGGAAGGTCAAAACTCAGCCCCAAATCCCTCCCCCCACCCCATTTCACACCACCCTTGTGTGTAGATCTCGCTTCCAAATTTCAAATGCATGCAAAAAGCAACATGATGCAAGGACATCTTTCCAAATGCTCTCTTATTTTTTTTAATTTTTTTACATCTCTTATTTTACGTACCCCCATGACAACCCCGATTTGCCCTCGCAAAGAGCCTTTTTTGCTTGGCCCCTCATGGCAAGCCACACAGCCAAGGTAGCAATGTGCAAAGGTCAAGGTAAGAACAGCATCTCTGGTTTCTGAGTAGGTCAGCTGCCAAACAACAACAAAAAAACCAACAACAGCCAGAACACTTCCTTTCCCAAGGAGAGAGAAGGCGGGGGGGCCTTAAAGCAAGATCCAAAAGCTTTAGCAAATCAACTCCCCAGGGAGGAGTTGCGGAGGGAGGATTCCCCCGCCCCTCCGAAAGCTCCAGATTTCATCAGGGCCAACAGCGTCTCTTAACTTACATCCAGAGCGCTTCGGTAATCCCGACGGAATGCGGTTTTCCCAATCCAGGCCTATATTTTGTTTGTTGTTGTTGGATGTTTGCAAAGGACACTTCCCAAACCAATATTCAAAGAACTGAACATCAAGGGGAAAAGAACAAGTAACAATGCACGGCTATGTCTAGTGACCAGAAAGGAAAACCAAACTGCACTCAAGCAAGTTGTGTCAAGTTAGTTTCAGTGCAATCTTCTAGCGGATACGTTGCCTTCTGTCCAATTCTTGGTTCCTTTTCAGAAATTCCCCGATCCCTCAAAAAGTATAACGCAGTTTTTTCTAGGCAAGCCCTGCCATCCTTTTGGCTTGCTGTTCCAAACCAACAGAGCAAAACGGAGGCTCCAAGCCACTCAAATAGACCTCTTGTTTCAGAGACACCCAAGAGCTGACGAACCACAATTGTCTTGTGGAAGAAATGCATATTTGCACACCCGCAAGAAGTCAAGTCATATACCGCAAATGTGAGATTCAACAATTTCGTTTTGCGATAGGCCTCCAGGTGAGGCTAGGAAAGAATTGTGCCTGCATCCAAGCTCATGGATGGATCAGGATATGTGGAAGCATGCAAATTCAATTCGTCCTGGCCTTATTGAAAAAATGGGATTGGAACACATCAATAAACCCCACACAAGACTCAAACCATCCTCTGCGAACTCACCTGGTAAGATATGGCTGGGAAAGCTGGCCACACCTGAAGAGAAAGAAGGGGGACACCTCCAAATTCTGGGGATCCAAAGGAGATTACCCCAAGTACCATGGACAGCGACAGTCAGTGACAAGTTGTCCTTAAATAATGATCCAGGACAGGGGTGGGCAACGATGGCCTCTTTGTGATTTGTGGACTTCAACTTCCAGAATTCCTGAGTGGCTCATCAGGAATGGCTGGCTCAGGATTCTGGGAGTTGAAGTCCACTGGTGGTAACGGGGCCATAACTGCCCAGCCCTGTTCTAGAAATTCTCATCCGGGGGAGATGAGTCTGCCTACCGAGATGAGGTGGACCGGTTGCTTTCGTGGTGTGGAGACAACAACTTGGTCCTCAACACCAATAAGACCAAGGAGCTTATGGTAGACTATAGAAGGAACAGATCAGACATCCAGCCCTTGCTGTTGCATGGAGACCGAGTGGAGCAAGTGGACAGATTTAAGTTTCTGGGTGTTACCCCAAAAGAGGACCTGACCTGGGGTGCCCACATTGCAGCCCTGGTCAAAAGGGCCCAGCAGAGATTATACTACTTGAGACTTCTCAGAAAACAACAACAATGAAAAACTGCTGGTGACCTTCTACCGCTGCACCAGAGAGAGTATCTTAACTTACTGCACCTCTGTATGGTTTGCCAATTGCACAGTGGCAGATAGGAAAGCACTCCAGAGGGTGAACGTCATTGCCCAGAGGATCATTGGTTGCCCTCTCCACACTTTGGAAGAGCTTTATAGCTCTCACTGCCTTAAGAAAGGTCAAAACATCCTTAAAGGTCCATCTCATCCTGGGAACCCTTTGTTTGAACTATTACCATCTGGCAGACGGTACAGGATAATAAAAACGAGGATAAATAGGCTGAAAAACAGCTTCTCTCCCAGGGCAGGAGCTCTGTTGAATTCTGCCGTATAGTACAGTGTCGGTGTGGTGTCGGGGTTTTTCGGTTCAATGTGTGGAGTGTGAAGGATGTGTGTTTGTGTTTATTTTCATGGTCATGATGTGCACTGAAAATGGTGCTTGATTTTGTTGTACGAGGGGCAAGGGCAATAAAGTAAACGAAACTAGAACTCTTATAGTTTGGGCTCGTGATGCAAGCAGAGGATGGACGAGAGAGAGGAAAGAAATATCTTGTTTCCCAACTGCTGAAGGAACCGAGGCAATGGAGAGACTCAAGGAATTAAGAGCGTTCAAATCTTACCTAATCCGGTACCTTTCCAAGGTACTAAAGAGAAGCGCCTAAACCCTGAAATAAGCAAATGTCAGCTTCCAGTGCTTAATATTTAATCTTAATCCCGGAGGACCGCAGGGGAAGCCACCGCCGAGAGAAAATAAAATTTGATCCAGATGGCAGGGCCCGAAGCAAAAAACAAAACCCAAAAACCCACCTCTTTTTATCACCTTGCACCTTGCAACAGGGAGGCCAAAAAAAAAAGCTAGCAAGAGAAAAAGAGGAAACTAGCCATCTGGACAGCGGCAGCCCAGTTCTGGTAGCCTTCAGCGCATCATGCTCAGAGGCTACATACCACTTGTTTCTCTGCTTTTCTCCTTTTCGGAGGAAACTAACAGGTGTGCTTGTGTGTGTGTGTGTGTGTGGGAGGAACAGCAAATTACAGCTCTCAGGCGACCCAGTGGCCTTCCCTTCCCTTCTCAAGAAGGGTGGCTCAGGGACTTCCTCTTCCCTCTCCTCCTCCTTTGATCCTCCTACTACTCTGCTGCTGCTGCTGCTGTGTCTTTCCCCAGTGTCATCCCAAGGCCTCTTCCTTCCTTTCTGGGGACGTTTCAGGCTGAAAAGCGGAGCAGACGTCATGCTTCAATCAATGCCTAATAAATAATAGATACTGGGTCCTCACACACACACACACACACACAGAGATACATTAGCAGCACACTTCCATGTCCGCCAGCAAGCGTTTCACACACACGCGCACACACACACACTCAATCGCTCCCCTTCCAGCTTCCCCTTCCCTGCGCCACCCTGCCTGCCCTTCAAGCGTATTTTTAGCCAGCGTACGCACCCCGGCCTGTCCATGTAGCAGCCCATGTGCATCACAATGGCAGGCAACCCCTCTCTGTATCGCCCTCCCAGCCTCCACCCTTCTAGCACACACACATGCATGCACGAGTGGCCATGGACGACCTTGATGTGACCAAGGGAGGGGAGGGGGAGATTGCAGCAGTCCCTTCCTTCTTTCCTTCCTTCCTTCCTCCCTCCCTCCCTTCCCTTCCCTTCCCTTCCCTTCCCTTCCTTTCTTTCCTTCCTTCCTTCCTTCCTTCCTTCCTTCCTTCCTTCCCGACTGCTAAGTCACCACCACAGGTCTCGGAGCAGAGGGTCAAAACCCACCTGCAGCTAGTGGTGTGTGTGTCAATACCCAAGCTGCTCCCCCTATTCTCTCTCTCTTTCACACACACACACACACACACTGGACAGGGTCCAACTTGGCTTTCGAGGGATGCTTCTGCACCATCCATCTTCCCTCCCCGCTCCTTTTTTATTTGTTCTCACACGGCCAGACAGACAAGAGAGCTGCAGAGACACACGGAGGGTCCCTGGTCCTCCACCACGACACTCCTCACCCCACCCCGTCCATCTGGCTTGGGGGCTCCTGCAATGCCATGCCATGCCACTCTCCCTTTCTGCCCCCCTCCAGCAAAGCCAATGTAACCAAGGTCCATCAAGCCAGCAGAGCCCCCCTCTGCAAAAAAAAAAAAAAAAGAGAGAGAGAGAGATAGAGACGCCAGCCAGGTGACTAGATCTCATGGGGCCTCCAGGACTCTCCCCAGGATTGGACTAGAAGACCTCCAAGGGCCCTTCTGATTGATGGATGGATTGAAACCGACCTATTAGAAGGCTTCGGCTGTTGCAAGACAACGGGGCCCCCTCCCGCCTCTCTTCCTTTCCTCTCCCCCCCCCCCGGGGCCATCGGGGGGGGGGGAAGCGGCCCTAAAGGACCCCTTCCCCCCCCCCCTCCCCCCCCCCACCTTTAGGGGCAGCCCAACGGGGAGAGTCTCTTCTTTAACCGGCCCCCGTTCCGCCTCCTCCTGGCGCGGCTGCTAACCCGGCGGCTGCAGAGGCGGCCAGGTCGTCCCGAAGCCGGCGGAGGCTGGAGCTTAACAATGGGCGAGCGCGCGGCGGGGGCGCGCGTGGGGGGGGGGGGGTGTGGCGCGAGGCCCCCGCCCCCCCCCCCCCCCGTTGTTCCCCCCCCCCCCCCCCCCCAAAAAAACCCAAACCTCAAACGATGCAGGCGAGGCAAAACGCCTTTCTCTCCCTCCCCGGGCGCCCACTCCGCTTTGCAAAAGGCGGGGACGGGGCGAAGGGCGCCTTACCGGAATCGGGGCGAATCCTTAATGCACTCCTCGAATTCCACCGTCATCTTGGCCGTCGGGGAAGGGAGCGAGAGGGGACGGGGGAAGGGAGGGTTAAGGGTGGGGGGCGGGGGGGGCGGGGGGAAGAGACCGGGGCGAGAGGCCGCTCACAAGCCGGGGAGGCGCAGCATCTCCAACCGCGCGCGCCCAAGGAGCTGCAGCGAAGCCAGCGGTGAAGCCAGCCGGGTCCCGGGGACGCCCTGCGCAACGCGCACGCTCTCGCCTTGGCGCACGGCTGGCCGCCTGGAAGAAAGGCGGGGAAGGTTGGGTTTGGGGTGTGGGGAAGGGTGGAGGTGGGCAGGAGAAGAGCTGCGGAGCCGAGCTGTCAGCAGCCCCAGGGAGCGTCGGCCAACTCCGGCTACCAGCGACGCCCAGCCCTCCTCCGCCTTTGCGCAGATCATCCCGGGGCCGCCCAGCTCTCCCCCTCCCCCGAAGGGCGGCCAGGGCTGGGGAGGGGAGGGAGACGCCTTATTATCCAAGCCCCCCCCCTCCCCCCGGCCCCGCTTCTTCCCCGGGAGCCTCTCGCGCCGATCCGGGTTGCAAAGATCCCCACCTCCCCTAGATGGCAGCCAGGAGGTGGCCAGCCCTATCCTTCCAAGCTCCAAGGGGGGCCGGGGAGGAAGTAAAATCGGTCCAAAGGACCAAAAATAAGGAGGTTGAGGAGCTTCGGAAAGGAAAGCACAGAGAAGAGCAACTTTAAGAGGATTAAAGGCCTTGGAGGCTAAAGCAGGCGAAGAAGAACGGTTGGAGGATTTGGGTAGAAGGGGGACGTGATATCGGTATTCCAGTATTTGAGGGGCTGCCACAGAGAAGAGCCGGTCCATTTATTTTCCAAAGCATCAGAGAGGAGAATAAGAAGCAATGCATAGAAACTAACCAAAGAGAGAAGCAACCTAGAATTAAGGAGAAATTTCCTATCGGTGAGGACAATTAACCAGTGGAACAGCTTGCCACCAGAAATCATGGACTACGCTCCATCACTGGAGGTTTTTAAGAAGAGACTGGACAGTCACCTGTCTGAAATGGTACAGGCTCCCCTGCTCGAGCAGCAGGCTGGACTAGAAGACCTCCAAGGTCCCTTCCAGCTCTATTCTGATTCTGAAATGGGGAACAAACTGGGATTCTGCCCCTCCACCCACACCCCTTTTGCCTATAAGCCACTCTGGGTAAGCTAGTATCTTTGCTGACATGCAGGTTTAGAGGTCAGCTTTCCAATCGGCCACAAGTACGCAAGCCACAGCTTAGCACAACAGGTGAAACTGGCTAACATTCATGGTTAGGTGAGGATTTAGACTCCCATTTGAGTCCGGGTAGTTCTCGACTTGCTAGCGTTCAAAGTTACAACGGCACTGGAAAAAAAAGTGACTTACAGACGTTTTGCACACACTTACGAGCATTGCAAGCATCCCCCTGGTCAAAATTGCTTGATGCTTGGCCACTGACTCATATTTCTGACGGCTGCAGTGATCCCCTTTTGCGACCTTCTGACCAGTCAGCGGAAAAGCCAGATTTGCTTAATAATTGTGTCTACTAACATCACAACCTGCAGTGATTCATTCTGCAACTATGGCAAGAACGGTCGTAAAAATGGGGCAAAGCTCATGTGATGACCTGGGGCATGACACAAAAATAACAAAGTCACAAAAGTAGAATATATTCCCTTTAATGCCTCCAACTTGGCCCCCAATGTCCCATTATCATCGGCTGGAGATCAAACTCTTCCAAAAACAGTCTACGAAGGAAAGAAATGCAGTCCGAACCCAAAGTAAAGATAATTAGAAATTTTAAAAAAACCAGCACAAACCACACTGAAGTATTTAACACGGCGGGCCAGGATGATAAATTACAGACTTCCAAAGAATAACGCACCACCCATGGTTGGGACTCGACAAAAAAATAATGCACGCTTTGCTTCCAGCAAGGAGCTCTGTGCAAACGCCCCACTTATATCCTGTTGTCCCAGCTGCAACTAATGAAAGGGATCAGGGCCTTCTTCTCTCCCATAAGCCATGTTGGTCCCTTCTCCGTTCTTCCCTGCCTGCCCTAGGATGAAGAAAGGATGGCCCTGGGTCTTCTTCTGAATGCCCAGCCGGACTGTGCCCTTCTCCCAGAGCCACACTCCCACTCCCTGTCAGCTGCTCCATCTCCCCCTCAGAATCAGACTCCAACAAGGGCATGACAGCTCACTTAACGAAAGTCTCACTCAGCAACAGAAATGTTGGGCTCCGTTGTGGTCGTACTTTGAAGACTACCTGTGTAGGTGAACCCCAGAGCAATTGCTATTTTACCTCTCAGGATCCTTGTGTGACCAACTGTCCAGAAGGGAACTTCTCCCCTGGATTAATCCCGGAAATAAATCAAAGACAGTGGACTTCAGAGGCCCCAACCGCCAAAATTAATTGGCTCTCTCCTCCCCAGAGCTCATCCAAGGAGCTAAAGAACATTAAAGGAGGATTGTTAGTTTGACGTTTATATGGGCTTTGCAAATTCAGAAAGTTTCCCATGGATTATTTTGGCCCAACCCCAGCAAAGGCCCCCAGATCCAGCCCAGACAAAGCATCTGGGGGCAAGATATTGAGCCCCACTCCAGCCAGTTCTCCAAATTCCTCTTCAATGGTTCGAGGACCGCTCTTTTTAAAAAAACAAAGGCGTTTCCCATACAGATGGCGGCTCTTTCCAACGTCTTCCCGATTTGTAAATTGCAGCTGGAAAACAGCCTTGGAATGGACAAGCTGCTGATTTTATTATGTGCTTTTTTGGCAGGAACCTGCTCACAAAAAAAAAAAAAAAAACCTCCCAAAAAATAAAGAATAAAGAATGGACACCGCCTTTAAATATTAGGCAGTCTGTCTCATCTGAATTTTCAGAAATCCGCTGTTGAATAGAAACGCGCCATCACTTGAGACCTTCAAGAAGAGACTGGACTCCTATCTGTCAGAAATGGTGTAGGGTCTCCTGCTTGGGCAGGGGGTTGGGCTAGATGACCTACATGGTCCCTCCCAACTCTGTTAATCTGTTATCCTTCAAATTTGTCCTTTCCTTCATCAATCCAGGGTGGGTGGGTGGGGAATAACAGGACAGTGCCTCATGCTGGAACAATCAAAGGACTCCCTCCGGGCATTTATAAACAAGCCAAGTTTCTAGCCCTCATGATTGCAAGGAGGTTTGGAAAACATACTGGGAATTTGCCTTGTGTAAATTCTTCCAAAATTTACTTGGATATGACCCACCATCACGGTCTTCTTCCCAAGCTTCTACGTAGGGACTCTTTTTACAGACGGTGATTTTATGAGCCTTTCATGCCTTTGAACAAAGAACAAATGTTTCACACACACACCCTCCCTCCTTGGAGGCCTCCAGATTTGTGAGGGGCAGTGTGGGGTACATTTAGAACGAGACCCTGAGGCCACACCATCTTTCATTCCAAGTGTTTGCAACGGGTGTTTGGGCCCAGATCAGACAACTCTAGCACAGGGGAGGCTTCAAACAGCTACAGGCAGCAGAGGGCGTGCTGTTTAATCCTCACCCTTCATCCTTGGGAACCCTTTTCTCTGAACCCCGAGTGACACACAAACTTGTTAACACGGGGTAATCTTTTTGTCACCATAGCCCAGCATTTGAGGGGTCAGTCATAGTAAATATAAATTATTGATGGCTTTATAAAAATCAGGCTTAAATGTGCCAAGAATGAATGTGTGTATGTATGCATGTGTGTGTGTGTGTATATATATTATATATATATAAGAATCTTACACGGGAAAAGACCCGAACACACCAATACCTCCCTGCTACTTCTATTACGGGTCTTAAATTGAACTTTTCTCTGACTTTTCTTCCAGATGCTGGCCAGCTGGACTCTCCATCTTGATCCTCGTCTAGAACAGGGGTCTCCAAACTTGACAGCTTTAAGACTTGTGGACTTCAACTCCCAGAATTCCTCTTCCAGTTATGTTAAGCTCAGGGATTCTGGGAGTTGAAGTCCTCAAGTCTTAAACTTGCCAAGTTTGAAGAGCCTTGCTCTAGAAGAGCCGAAATCAGTCGCATCAAGCCCAGAGAATGGAACAAAGCATCCTTGCCTGCACAGGAGAAGGTATCTTTGCAATCAAAAGGGATGGAAATGTGTTTATTTTTTTTAAGCCAAAGCTCGAAATTTTCACAGAGGCAGACGTCTGTGGTAGGGATCACATTGGGTGGTCTTTTTAGAAGCACTCATGCCTGACAGTTGCCAAGCCTTGAGGCTTGCTGTTTATTTGTTTCGTTTCTGTTTCATTTTTCTGTCTGGGAGTAGAGTTGCCAAAAAGAATTGCCGGCCCAAGTAGGAATTTATTCTCCCTCTGGCGTCACTCAAAAAGGGTCCTTTCCCCCTCATAAGTAATAGAGAAAACACACATTTGTTATAGATTCAACTTTGAGAGTGGTTTATGAAGGTCGGGGATTCAGTTACTCCTCCAAATTCTTTAGTGAAACCTCCATTACCAAAGAGAGCCTATCTCAAGAGTCTTGAAACTTGGCAAGTTTAAGACTTGTGGGACTTCAACTCCCAGAATTCCTGAGCTAACATGGACTGGAGGAAGAATTATGGGAGTTGAAGTCCACCAGTCTGAAAGCTGTCAAGTTGGAAGCCCTCTAGAAAGAGTGCAGATAAGAGCAACAAAGAGGATTAGGGGTCTGGAAGCTAAAATGTACAATGTCCAGTTAAGGGAACTAGGTATGTCTAGCCTTACAAAGAGGAGGACTAGGGGTGACATGATTAGCAGTCTTCCGATATTACACCAAGACAAATTCCTTGTGTGTCCAATCACACTTGGCCAATAAAAAATTCTGTTCTATATCTAAAGAAGTGGGGCATCAAATTATTCTCTAAAGGCCCTGAAGGCAGGACGAGAAGCAAACTAACCAAGGAGAGAAGCAACCTAGAACTAAGGAAGGTTGTCTTAGAACGGGAGTCCCCCCCAAACTCGACAGCTTTAAAACTGGTGGACTTCAACTCCCAGAATTCCACCTCCGGTCATGTTAGCTCAGGAATTCTGGGAGATGAAGTCCCACAAGTCTTAAACTTGCCAAGTTTGGAGGCTTCTGATCTACCTGAATAACCATCAGAGGGGTAAATCATTAGGGTCGTTTGTCTCAATTCAACCACAAAAAAACAAGGTTGTTTCTGGGCTTTGGAATATTTCCCAGCGAGAGAAAGAATTCTGCACATGGTCAGAGGTGTTGAATCTAGGACACACACACTTTGCATGGATCTTGGTGAGATTTGGGTTTGTGTT